CGATCCCATTTCGAAACATGCACAATTCCTTTAAGAACAAACTTTTAATAGAACGCGACAGCCGTCGGGCCGACGATTGATTATTAGATGATGAGCACAAAGATGAGCAGGAGGAAGGGTGGAATTACGGCCTCTACTACGAGAATACCGATACAAGGGTATAGGGGAATTAAGGGATTGGCCGAGAGATGGCGCTGCGAGCTTCAGCCACTGACGTCTAGGTAAATGATTCCATCCTTCTATGTAGCTCTTTCGAATTTTTTCGCCACTCGCTACTTGCAGGTGACTCCTACACAACTACGATACGGCAAAGCTATGTATCCCAGTTGATTTAGCGTTTTAACGATTGCTTTTCAGACATAAACGTGTAATATAAGTAGGTGATATTCGTAGGGGAAGGATATCACAACAATAAATATTTACTAATCGGGAGATAAAGATGTTCCTCTATGTGTGTGTGTCGATTAGCGTCTATCTCATTCTCAAACACAGGTAGGTTTGAGAGGATTCGAGACCTTCTATTGAAGTCGGTAAAAGGGAATCTCTAAGGATGGTAAGAAGAGCAATTGGGTAGATGCGCCCCAAGGTCAATGACGAAGTAACGACGGTAGTCGACCGGAAGATTTGTCGCGATGCGTGCAGCACGTAAGGTACTGACCAACACTAACAGTCGGCTTCGTTAAAGCACAATTAAAGTTCACGAGCTGGCGACTTTCTAGTCTCGCCTCGCAAATGTTGTTCCTTACCGAGGCTTTGATTTAGAACAACTTCCCTCACGATCTCCCCTACTCTGTCCAATTATTTTATAGCGCAGCTTGGTCTGTTTCCCATAATTTCTATACTTACTGTAATCGGTGGAATTATTTATACATTATGTAACTTGTGTAAAAACAATATTATGCGTATTCAATGGTAACATGTTGCTACATATTTAGATCATTTAATTGTAAAAATAAAAGTATTTAAAAACAATTCAGATTATCATAAATCATGTTATTTTTTTAAATACGACGCAAAATAAATAACATTGCAATTTTATTAGTATTGAAAAAATATTTTCAAAACAACAATTTCATTTATTTATAATTTGATGTAATCTGGCATATACGTGTAAAGGGTATTCTGCATTACAAAAAAACCAGAAGCCATAACTGCATTTCCTGGATGAAAACAATCGAAAGCTACTCTTATGCTTTTCAATACAAATACAAATAAAGGCTTATTTTCATCTTTTCAAAGAATTTTAAATTACTGACTTTGATAATATATTTTTCGATAATAATGATACACGGGCGTGCCTCTATTATATATATATATATATATATATATATATATATATCAGTACATGTTTAGTGTTTTTCAAGTTTGTTTAAAATAACGATGATCAAAGTAATAAAGTTTTAAAAATATTAAATGTTTATTTCTAATTACTTTCTATATTAACCTCCTTCGCTATTAATCTAATCTTTACCAATAATTTTCTACAATTGGTATATCATAAATATTTTAATTTGTATAACGGTCGGATAATTATAGATAAATATCCTACATATAGTAAAAAATAAATAATAACTGCTACATCTAAAAAATATCCCATAACTCCACTTCCTTTAGAATAGTTGAAGCAGCAGTATTTAATCTTAATAGTATTAGATGTATGATCAATATAACATTTATGAGTTGGTTCTTTTATCGATGTGTCTATATTTTACTGCCAATTTAATATCGTCATTTCTTTCTTTAAATTTATTTGAAACGAAAGAATTATTTTGGCCATGTGTAGAATTGATTTCTCATTTCTTGTTTATAAACTACAGTATAAATATTAAAATATTTTATTGTTAGTTATGAAAAATCTATAAACTCCTTCGTTAATAATAATGCAAATTACTCAATTACTAGATAATTAATAGATAATTACTAGATAATACATACTATTTTTACATAATTTTATTTTTTCGTCAATTTCATATAAACTATCTTTATAAAGATTTATAAACACTTTTCAAAAATATAATACGAAAATAAATAATGTTATATAATGAAAACAAAAAAACGAACTAGCATTTAGTAAAGAAATATTTCTCAAAGGATAGTACGTTGACTTAATTGTAAGTCCAATAATAAACGAGGCTAATTGACTTTTTCTGTCTATTTATTTAAATTGCATTTTAGGACCGAAATATAAATTGAATAATATTGTATTAAATTACAATACTCTTTCTTTTTAGAATATTATTGCAAAAGAAGAAACATTAAGAATAACTACAGTATTCAATCATTTGCTAATATGTCGCCTTATGCAGAAAGAGAGAGAGAGAGAGAGAGAGATATTTAAGATATTTATAATCTTTGGATTTTTTGAATATTTTTCATGTAAGATGAAATGGAAAGTTAAAAATATATTCAAACCATTTCTCTCGTGATTTTATTGAAATTTTCAATGTTCACAGTTTTTACTACACATGTGAAAATGAAATAAATATATGATATAATAAAGAACAAGTGAACGTTATAATGATTTAAAAATTTCACAAAAAATTAGAAATATTTGTGATTTAAAATATAACCTTGAAATAACTGGAAAAGCTCCCTTATATGTTACTATAATTATCTGGCAGCCTTGTAAGGTTTAAAATAATTTCACTTGATTTTCATTTGAAAAAGAAAATACGTTATCAAATTAATTCTTCTACAATTTTAGTAACGTAATAATAGATGGAAATAAATATCAAAGAAATCAGAACAAGCGAAACTGAATTTTATTGATTATCTAAGCAATTTCCAATAATATATGTTGACATTTTGCCTATTGTTACGAGGTAAGTTCTAAATTGTTCATGTTCGTCCGCATTTTTTAATAATTTTTTGCACGTAATCGAATATTAATTATTTTCAATTAAAAGTGAAATATAATTAAAATCATCACTTCAATTAAAAACAATATTCTGAGTAAATATGTTAAATTGCACTCTAATCATAATACAAAATTATTTGATTTATAATGATATTTTCAATATATATTTAAATAATACTTTCATTAATATAGATCAATTATTTTAATGTTAACGAATCAAAGTATCATATATATCAAATGATATTCATTATCTATGAACACTATGCACATAATCTTGACATAGATTTATTGGAAATTATTACATACTTCGTGTGACATTGATTGTTCAATGTGACTCATTGGGACAATGAGAGTTATATTTGCATCGTCGGAGATATGGTGACGTTATATTGCAAAATATCATACAATAGTATACTATTCTTGCATGGCACATACTGATTTTAGTAGTATTTAATACGCATCATTCGTCGAACATTATTGACTAATATACTATAAACTAACAGTACATCACTGAATATAATACAGTATTTTCAGTATATGAAAAATAACAATTATATAATAAATTCAGATAATATTTAGTTAGATAAAGCACTACGGGTACAATTATGTCTTATTTACAATGTGGTAACTATTAATTAATATAACATATAAATAAATTAATTAAAAAATATATTATTGTTGAATGGTGTATCAAAAATAATATAAATTAACAATCCTCTTATATTATATATAATACATTATATATAATAATATAATAAACGATAGAAAGGGGCTTTACTTATCCATTTTGATATATAGTGGATAATAGATTAAATCTGCATAAAACTACATTATCTATTGTAAAAGTGAGTATGATAATTTTGTAAATATATGTTATTGTTATCTTATTGAAATGTCAATCTCGTTCATTTACTTAAAGGCCAATTATTGTTAAATGTGTATTTTTATTTTTATTTGATAAAAATATTTTGAAAAATATTATAAAATAATTTAAGAGTAGTTGAATAAATCCTTTATAGCGCAAGTAAGATTGATTATCAGCCTTTACGAGCATAAACATAAAAATCTTGATATCCACTTCATTTTTTACTCAAGTATTGATTAACTGTATCCAGAACGAAATAGGAACGTTAACTATTATAAGCTGAAAATAATAACCGAATAGATAAGTATTGGTAAAAGTTTATAAATAAAAGTGGATAAATATTTAAAGTTTTTTTTTTATGAATTTCTCGTAATATTAATATTAAATAGTATTAAGTAATATTTAAAAATTCTATAAAATAATACGCTAATTGAAGGATTTAGATGATTAATGAATATTTAAGAATACATGAATATTTAACATATGTGTATTTATAATTTATTGATTTATCTCGTATACAAAGTAGTACATAACTATGATTTTGTAGTTAATGATTAAAATTATCACATTATGGTGCATAAAATTGTTACTTTTGCAGAGTAAAAACGGATCGATGACCAATAAATATATTATTATGTTTATTATTTATAAATAATTTTTTGTAATGGCGCACACATCATTGAATCGATTCATAAGCTCATTTATAAAATTTAACGTCAAATGATTGTACATCAGAATCCCCCATTCCTTATTACATTACTAATTACATTAAATTACTAATAGATGTGTTTGAACAGTATCTAGGGATGATCTTACTTAGACATTGTGAATGAAAGTAATGGATTTGCATGCTCTCGCTTTACATTGGTCGCGTTTGAAAACGAAGTTGTTGGCTCAAGGAACATCTCGGCATTGCGGTCTGTGATCTGCGCGCCACCAGCTTGGAAAATCACGTCTACCGTCTCGAATGATAAGACGCCACCGTCGGTTGAAGGTCAGTCGATCTCGGATAAGCCCTCGGTAAAAGCTTGCAAGCTTAGGCCCTCGCGTCCCTCTCGGGCCCGCGCCCCCGAAGGCTGGCCCTCCGGGACGCCATGCTGGCCCGGCGGCGCTCCCCATTGGTTCGTGCCACCGCCGGCCGAGGGGCGGGGCTGGTTTGCTGTCTGCCGCTTGCTGGGAGGGGGGAGCGGCCGGGCGGCGTGCGCCTCCGAACCCGCCGCCAGTACACGGGCGACCAGCCGCGAACGAGGATAGCGCGTACGACCGCAAAATTTGAACGTTTACTCGAGAGAGAAAGCGAGAAAGAAAGGGTGGAAGAGAACGAGACACAAAGCTAGATATTGGGCTTTGCTGTTGAGGTGCCCGTCGTTAAAGCACCCGGAGCCAGTGTGCGCGAGGCCCGCCGGGGGCGCATGGAGTTGTCGCCCGCCGAGCCCTTGCCGGGGCAGCCGTTGCCGAAGGCCCGGCCCGAGCCGTTGTAGCCGTGTACGCCCTGGAGAGAGGAGCCGGGGGGCTGGGGGTCCTCGGGACTGGCGGCAGCCACTTCGCAGAGCAGCGGATACAGCAGCAGCAACACCAGCAGACATGCTACGGCCCGGCAGCGGACGATCCCCAGGTCCTTGCGCTTCATCAGCAGAGTGATCTGCAGACGATGACGCCGACCTCGGCGCCGGCGGCCGTCGCCGCCAGTCCCAACAATCCCGTGGCCATGAGTCAACTTGGCACCGTTTACGCCACCAAGAGACGGAGGCGCAACGGCAAGAGGTCTGAGACGCTCTTACT